ACCTCTTCTCCCGTACGTGATTTGCTGGGCGCCGATGTCAAGACCGAGGACGATGATGCCCAGGCGGCCCTAACAGACAAAGATAAAGGCAATACACAGAAGCAGGATGAAGATCAACCCGCTTCTACCCCACAAGCCCGACTAGACAAGGGGAAAGGTAAAGCGCAGAAGGAGAACGGGGATGATCAACCAGCTCGTACCATGACCATCCAATCGGGCGATGGGAGAGGTAAAGTTATTGAGGAGCCGTCCAAGGATACTTTTCATGAATCTATCTCCTCCGCGAGCAGCTCTTTTGTTGAAGTCAACGGATCGGACGATAATGCAGAGGGAAAGGATGAAGTACCCGAATCTGATCGAGAATCTGAGGAGCAGCATGGAGATGATGATGACGGAGACTTTTTGTCTGAAAGCTATGGGTCCCAGTCGGGAGAAGATGAAGAAGAACTGGAGGAGGGTGAATCAGAGGGAGTTGATGAGAACTTTGAAGAACCCTCACCTTTGTCATCTCCAGAACCCACAGAGATTCCGCTCCCTCGTTCTCGTTCCAATACTCCACAAGCCGAAGCACCCAAAGTTGATCCTGCCTCTCCGTTATCGTCCGACGATTCCGATTCATCTCGTTTGTCAACTATTCGTGAAGAGAGCACGACGCCTCCTGGGTCACCTCCTAGAACACAAACTGTTGGTGTTCCTGCGATTGTTGCTCCCACACCTATCAATTCACCTACACCCACAACTTCGCTCGGGATTGGGAGACCTAGTACTCGGCCAACACGTAGTTCTCCTTTGGCGAATAAACCCCTAACAACGGGAGACGCGACAAACGAAGAAGAGGAAGAAATTGGGGTCAGACCAACTATCATAATGAAACCTCGTCCAGCATCGCCCCGAACTCCATTCGGTGTTCTTCCCAAGTCTAGGTCTACTTCTCCTGAAGAGGCTAAAGACGGGAAAAGACCTAAAACTCCCCCGCTTCTGTCTAGCTTCTTCGGTAGCACTCCGACACCGTCTACTCCCAAACCAGCCCCAGCTACTTTACCTAGTTCGGCAACGCCATCTAAGGCACCTGTAGGCCAGATAACACCATTGTTAAACACGCCTATGTCCGGATTCTCATCCTCATCTTCATCCAGTAGTCTATTTGGCAAACCTTTCTCCCTTCAACCTCCCGCAATTGGAGCGGAGGCTGCTCCCTCAACTTTAGGGATATTCTCACCTCCTGTCAACCCAGAAGTTCGCTCAAGTCCTCAGCGTCTGCCCACGCCGCTTGTTGGGTCGCAACGCGGGCCATTTTCTCCCCCTGTTGAGTCGAATACAGCTGGATTTCCCGCTTCTGGGGCCCTTACAGGTCAAATGGTACCCCCTGCATCTATGCCTGTACCTCAGGAAAACGGTATGCAGAAGGAATGTCATATTGTGGTGGACGCGATGGAAAAAGACTTGGAACGAGTGGGTCACTAGCAGATTTTACTTGAAAGTAGGCTCATTTCCTATCTAGCTTCGTGTAATGGCCCAATCGGTTGCCAAAAAACGCGAGAATCTGTCGCGATCTGCTGGAGGCTCTCGGCGGCAGCAAGACTTGGGTCACCCTGAAAAATGGGCAATGTCCGACAGTACACAGTTTGGTGTTTTATTGAGGCAATATGAACATGATATCTCCGAACTAAAGTCATCTGCGGAGAAGCAGAAGGAAGAGCTGCGCGAGCTCGGGAAGAGCATAATTAAAGGTGAGAATCTCTGTATTCCTTTGAATCGTTCCTAATTCTCATATAGCTGGTACGAGGAGGGAAGAAATTGCACGCTTCAATAAAGCCAAGAGTGACAACGAGTTTTCTAAGATGCTCAGGTCAAGGACGCTTGGTCCGGAGCATTTGGAAAATCAAACGCAATTGCGGAGGAATATTCGAGTAGGTTGATCCTACTAATACGATCGCTCAATCCTTACCATGACATTACAGGCATTGCGGAACAAGGTCGATCAGTTAGAAGACCAACTGCGTGCCCATAAAAAGAGACTAAGCGAAGTTAACTCTGGTCGACCTACCCTGAAGTAGAATAATTTATTGCTACATATCTCGCTCGGTCTCAATGTCCTTGTTTCTAGACCTCCGTCATTGGATACGATTCATCGTACCTACCGCAACATTGACCTTGCATTACAACAACAATCTGATGATCTAGCGCAACTCACTGCACGGTTCCTCAAGCTGGACTTGAACGCTTCTTTCTACAGTTCTCACAACGTGAAAGATCCTCGGCTCCCCCAGTTTCCACCGCGATCCCGCCCCTCTATTATCACACAAGACGTCGCAGTGACCACCGCAGCCGCTCTGAATGCCGAACGATCGGCACACAACCTCAAAACAATGTTACTCAAAGCCCGAAAAGATCCCCTTCTTAATGTTAAAGCGAAGGAACTCGTCGAGGGTGGGACGAAGGTGCCCACTTCCTATAACACACCCAAGGCGGCGAGTAGTTTCTCTGTCGGCTCTGGTTTACAGTTCTCTACGCCAATTATTCAGCGTCCATTGTTCGGAACTTCGCCCTCAAATCCAGAAGTTGGTCACTGGGATACGCTATCTTTTCCCGAGGATAACTTCCAACCTTCTTCAATTCCACTGTCTTCTGGTGGACGAAGAGGCGTGACTCCTCAAAGAAAACATGAGCCTGCTCCTCCAGTAAGGAAAAGTCCTGCTCCAGAGCCCAGTGGAGGTCCCAAGGCCACCGCCACCTCCCCTGCAGGATTCGACTGGGGAAACCTTCCGACGTTTAACAAACCGTCTCCAGTGTTGCCTGGTTTCGATATGGTCATGTCCAATCCGCCTTCCACTCCTCCTGTTGGGTTCGGTCCCCGCCCGTAGAGTAGAAGGATTCTTGTAATCTGTACATACTTTACTATACATATATGAAGAGAATAACGAATCAAATAATGAATCTCCCGTCTAAACTAGCGATCCCCTTCGGGGCTCCTCTGACGTAGCTTGCTGGTTGTACAAGTTGAAGTAAGAGGCATATTACATGTTACAATTGTTACAAATTTACCCGGACACGGCTCAATTCATGAGCACAACATCTTCTGGCATACTTCCAGTGAAGAATATTCAAGTGTGTGTCCCCGGATAAGTTGCAGTTCAATCTCTGACATTGACTGGAAGCAGATCATTCAGACAAAGGTAACAGCTAGAGGTGATATTGCTCGCACTCACTCATGAACTATATTTTTGGGCGCAGACAGTAAAAATATATCGTTGAAAAGTATAGAAACAGTGGATGAGTCTTTTTACTGAACGACAACGATGTTGGTGGAGTGTCAGTTTAATCTGACTGTAGGAAAATTGCGCGCGCGCTTGTTAATTAGACAATCTCGAAAAAGATGACACGACTGCGGCCAAATCTCGAGGCTGAAGCGCTGAAGCTGAGCGAACGTGGACACCTCATATGCCCAGTAGACATAGATAGTAGCCTTTGACATGGGGGGTGGGATGGCATAGGCAGTTACCATAAAGATCCGCTATTGTACAGTAGCGCGAAAAAAGCGCTATATTTCATGCGGACTTTGATGTTGTAAGATATTTCTCGGGTACCGGAAGGCTAGTACCGAGATCTAGTGCACCGAGATCACGCGTTAGTACACGTATCCCGCCTCCCGGCCATATGCCGCCTCCCGAACCCAAACGAACTGTCTCCTGCTCAACTCCAGTGCTCCCTTGCTTTTAAGTAATATAAAGTTCACGTTGCTATAACGTTCACTTACCTCACAACTGTACATGCCCTTACTATATACACGACCTCGTACATAAGGGCATGTACGGTTGTGACACCGCCGTACAGATAAGTCGTCGCATCAACATTGCATTATTCTCCAATATGCATAAGTTATTATTATACCAACAAGCTCTCTCAAGCCACTGTTTGGTTTTGAGAGTGCGGCTTTGACCCAAGAGCTTTGAGTCTACCATCTCAACTTCGATAGTAGATCATACATTGCACCGCTCACATATTGTAAGTATTGAGTAGTTTGAAAGGTATACCAGGTATGGAGCTCCTCTATGTAATTATAGGGCAAAATATCGCTTTGTGGTTGTGCTGAACGATGAAGAGAGCTGTGGAAGGAAGCGTGCGAACGTACCGGAAACGTTTGCCGGTGCTTCCGCTCGCTGTTCCAAACAGTGAACAGAGGAAGAAAATAATTTCTGTTCAGGTGCGGATCTCCCGGAAGCTCATGGGGAGGTGCAATCGCTCCCCTTAAAGCCAAAACTACATGCAAACATCCAGGAGTAGCCCGAAATACCCTCTCCTTTGTAAAGGGATGCAGTGAAACTCGTGCTTACCATGTAAAACAGTGCACTCAAGAAGGAACAACTTCATCTATAAGTTTGATATACTAGTGATAGACTTAAATGCACTATTTAGACATAACATGACGAAATCAGAACTATTGAATAAGTTTAACAGTCTCAAGCAGGAAATAAGTCGTTAAGGATGCACGTAAGTACAACAACTTGAATGAATCTAAGTAATACAGTATCAAGATTGCTAGACCCTTACAACGGTGGGTGACAAAGGTACTTGGCGGACTTTAAATTTTCGTACTTGTCTTTACAAAAGGTACTTTAAAGGTACTTAAGGTACTTAAGTTACTTTGTCACGTACAAGTACGACAAAGTAACTTAGTGTACTTTGATCGTACTTGGCTACTTAAATACTTATATTAATAATTGCGATGTATTTCCCGTAATTTCGTGATTCTTAAGCTTGAGCATGTTAGAGTTCTGGTGCTTTATCCAACTCAGCCATATAACCGGTTATATGGCTGAGTTGGATATTGCACCAAAACTCTAACAAAACATCTGACTCTGAGAGTACTACCATGTAGTAGTATCTCAGATCCTATGTCCCTCGGATGTACTCGAGTAGCCGGTTATATGCTGAGTGGGCACCATCCCACTGGTCTACCTTGACCTGGTCAGGTTACTAATTACTGGCTCAGCGGCTCTTACAACCCGTAGGACTTGAACCCACGACCTCAAGGTAAACCCTCACTCAATCTAATCTCAGAGTCAGATGTTTTGTTAGAGTTCTGGTGCTTTATCCAACTCAGCCATACCTGTTAGAGTTCTGGTGCTTTATCCAACTCAGCCATATAACCGGTTATATGGCTGAGTTGGATAAAGCACCAGAACTCTAACAAAACATCTGACTCTGAGATTAGATTGAGTGAGGGTTTACCTTGAGGTCGTGGGTTCAAGTCCTACGGGTTGTAAGAGCCGCTGAGCCAGTAATTAGTAACCTGACCAGGTCAAGGTAGACCAGTGGGATGGTGCCCACTCAGCATATAACCGGCTACTCGAGTACATCCGAGGGACATAGGATCTGAGATACTACTACATGGTAGTACTCTCAGAGTCAGATGTTTTGTTAGAGTTCTGGTGCTTTATCCAACTCAGCCATATAACCGGTTATATGGCTGAGTTGGATAAAGCACCAGAACTCTAACAAAACATCTGACTCTGAGAGTACTACCATGTAGTAGTATCTCAGATCCTATGTCCCTCGGATGTACTCGAGTAGCCGGTTATATGCTGAGTGGGCACCATCCCACTGGTCTACCTTGACCTGGTCAGGTTACTAATTACTGGCTCAGCGGCTCTTACAACCCGTAGGACTTGAACCCACGACCTCAAGGTAAACCTCACTCAATCTAATCTCAGAGTCAGATGTTTTGTTAGAGTTCTGGTGCTTTATCCAACTCAGCCATATAACCGGTTTTATGGCTGAGTTGGATATTGCACCAAAACTCTAACAGAGCAAGCATGGCCTAATTGTAGTAACCTTCAAGCACCCTGATTGACTATGTAGAGCATCGAGGGTAACAAAATAACATGTCGTCATTTACATGTCAAGAAGTTCCTAAGTAGCGGAGTTTGAATTTATTGATGCGGCCAAGTACTGATCAAATACGTTTATGGGGCCGTTGCAAACGCACACAGCCTAGATAGCAAGTCTACGGACCACAAAATGTTGAAAAAAAGTCAGAGATGCTCAGATCAGATGCTCGGAACAACTTGAACAGTGCTTCGGGATGCCTGGCAGCACACTGCTCCACCCCACCGTTCTAGCCATTTTCGAGACTTCCAACATGCTGAATTGGCTTGGAATTGGCTGAAGAGCCTCTTCTCAAGGAAAAAGGCGCCCAACGATTGTCAAACAGATATTGGCGGAACTCAACTCAATCCCAACGGTGCCAACTTTTGGGGTGCAGCTGGTACCGCACTGAGGGAAGCTTTGGTTAAATTTACTGGCTAGTCCGATTGTCATACAGTGCAGTGGATAGCCATGGGTATGAAAATTCGGAAATAATTGAAGCACTGCCGGAAGCAAAGCCCAGAATTTTGGAGATCGTTGCATCAGTTTCTCCCTAAGTACATCCGATCTTGGAACTTTGGACACAATGGTCTCGGTGTAAGAACAAACAAGTGCTGGATTCACTCAAGGATGACTGCTTTGAGTATGATTCACCGCCTGCAGATAACAGTCTGGCAGAGGAGGCCTCAGCAAGCTTGGGTCTGGCACTCTTGTCGGGGTCCGGGGATTTGATTGGAGGCGCTTTCACTTGATAACACATCACACTTTGGGATAGTGAAGCTTTACTTAATATTATTGTAATTACAGAGCTATTGGATGTTTGTAGGTAAGTGTTCAGTTTCTATATCTACCTTCGGACTTGTATATCAAAACCAAATTCTCCTTATTTGAATATCTTTGCACTTGTTATATATTGTATATAGGCTGAATAGACCACTTTCTCCTTGAGCCTAAGTTGAGACTTTACTCATGCTTCCAGGTCTAAAAATGTGTGGTAGAAAGGTAGTATGACGATGATGTCTGGATATCAGTAAATTCCTTATGACAGCTGCAGTTACTGCAAAGCCATTGCGATGAGCTCATATGTATGGCGTTTGGGGTGGGCTTATATAATAAACACGATCTGAGGTGCGCAAAAGGAGAGGTATAACATGCTATCAGTACATCCGGTACTCAAGTACTCTGCCAAAGTATGGCATCAAGTACCTGTCAAGTATGTGAAAATAAAGTAACTTGATTATATTGATAAAAGTACGATAAAAGTACGAAACCCAGTACCTTTGCTAACACTCCCTTACAACATGGCCAAATTTAATGAATTGTAGAGAGCTACAATAGACGGCTCCAATCCTCAAGCATGAAAGCTGTACCACAAGTCTTTCTTTCTTGGGCTTGTTGGAACTAAGAGACACGTTAGTACGATGTACAACTAAGCTCAGCCAGAAGTGATGAAGGCTAAATCATATTACCATACCTAAGAGACACGTTAGTACGATGTACAACTAAGCTATAGGTACAGTATGAGCATAATGGACATAGAGCATAAGTATAATAGACATACCTCAGCCAGAAGTGATGAAGGCTGAGGAAAAGAAGGGAACGTCGATACGTACAGTATAAGTAGAAATCCGTATCAGTGAAATAAAAGTTAAAACAAATGATAAGAACTCGGGTCTGATATCTACTCGGTATTGGAGCTGTACATACCGGCGGCCATATACCGCGGACCGAATATCCAACACTCCCCTCAACGAGAATGCATTGGGACAAGTCCCAGTAGTCGAGTTGCCTGTCGATGAGTTTCACCATCAAGAGCTTTGGTGAATATGTTGGCGACATTATCCCTAGAAGCAACAACAGCTGTCTGAATATCACCGCAATGAACCGCTTCACGAATCCAGTGGTGGTGAATTTTGATATGTTTGTTTGCATTAGTGACTTGGTCGGAATTAATGTTCTTCAAAGCCGAAGATGAATCAACAAACATCTGAGTTGGTTCAGGTTGAGTGAAGTCGAGTTCCTGGAGAAGGGAGCGGAACCAAACAACTTCCCTACCACAAGATCCAGCTGCATAATATTCGGCTTCACTGGTGGAAGTCGCAACAGCAGTCTGTTTCCTCGTATACCAGGAAAAACAACCTGTACCGAAAGTGAGGGCGGCGCCAGACACCGAACGACCATGTTCAAGGTGATCAACAAAGTTGGAGTCGGTATAGGCAAAGAAAAGGAGTGACTTGCCACCAAGGACGAGGACGAAGTCAACAGTCCCCTTCAAATAGCGAATAATCCGTTTCACTGCTTTCCAGTGGATATGACCGGGATTATGCATGAACTGCGCTACTTGTTGGGTGCTGCGAGTGATGTCCGGGCGCGTTCGAGTGGAGGCGTGCATGAGAGAACCAACACCTTCAGCGTAGGGCACCAAGCGCATCTCTCTCTGTTCAGGAGAATCATCAGAAGGACAATCAGCTTTGGACAATACCGTCTTTTCCATGGGTGTTCCAACGGGGTGAGCATCATCGAGTCGGAAACGGGAAATGAGAGACAAGATGTAGGAACGTTGGGAAAAGGAAATGGTTCGAGCAGATCTATCACGAGTAACAGTCATACCCAAAAATTGAGAGATCTTCCCCTTATCCGAGATATCAAAATGAGTACGGAACTCATCCTTGAATTGAATAATCTGTAGAATGGAGGAACCAAAGAGAGCTAGATCATCGACGTGAGTTGCAATGATGATTATTCCATCGGAAGAACGACGAAAGAAGACACAAGGATCGGAAATGCAAACCTGAAAGCCAAGTTCAACCAAAACACTTTTTAGTTTCTCATACCAGAGAAAACCAGACTGCTTAAGTCCATAGAGTGCCTTGTTAAGCTTCCAAACCCACGAATCCTTTCCTCTGACTGCAAATCCGGGCGGTTGCTTCACATACGTTGGCTGGTCATCAGGGATGGTGCTATTAAGATAAGCAGATTTCACATCAATGACATGAATTTCCCAATCCTGGATGGCCGCTACGGTTGCAATACCACGAATGGATTCAATACGAGCAGTCGGAGCGTGGATATCGACAAAGTCAATACCCGGAATTTGGGTAAAACCCTGAGCTACAAGTTGAGCTCGGTAGACCTCAATGGCCTGAGTGTCGGCATTGCGCTTGATAGCGAAGACCCAGCGTGTACCAATGGCCTTACGGTCAGGAGGTGGTGGAACGAGAGAGTAAGTCCCAGTCTCCAAGAGCTGGTTAAGCTCGTAATGACAAGCGGCTTCCCACTCTGCATGATCGGGAGAGTTGAGAGCCTGCGAAACATTGAATGGAATTTCACCACTCAAGATATGAGCCAGTTCGGGCATCTCCCCTCATCCCCGCTATCATCCATATCAAGCTCAACATGCGGAGGAATATCCTCATCAATCTGTGGCTGGACTTCTGCTCTCGCACGAGAGCGAGTCTTAGCAGGTGTAGCATCAGAAGGCATGCGGGGATTAGGACGAGGGGCACGAGGTGGAGGAGTAGCAGGAGGAACAGGAACAGGAGGGTCAGGTGGGAGAGCGGATGGAGCGGTTATAGGGGAAAACTCATCGTCATCTTTATAAGTAGGATTTTTGAGAGACGAATAATCATAGGACTCCCCGCGGCGCTCAAAAGTCCATCTCCATTAGTGTTGTCATCAAACTTCACAGAGATTGCTGAACGTACACCTTTACCTGGCGTGTACACATAGTACGCCACCCGAGTCTCGTCAAAACCTAGAAAAATACCAGGAGTACCACGAGCGTCAAGTTTATGCTCCTGCGAGTTGTTGTATACCCAAACTTTACATCCAAAAGAATGCAATTTTCGACGGTCAGGGTGCTTCTTGTACCAGAGATGATAGGGTGTCTCCCCTTTAGGTAGAGGACTAGCATAAGTCCGGGCACGGATATTAAGAATGTACCAGACAGCGTAGCCCCACATAGAGAGAGGAAGTTGAGAGTGAATAAGGATAGTGCGTACCCGGTCAAAAATTGTACGATTGAGGCGCTCAGAACGGCCGTTCTGTTCAGGAGTGTAAGGAGCGGTCTTTTCCCAGCGGATACCATGCTCCTTCATCCAATCGCGCCACTCGTTGGTTATATATTCCCCACCATTGTCAGTGCGGAAAACCTTCAACTTTTTGCCGGTTACCTTCTCTACTTCAACTAACCACTGCTTAAAAGCAGTAAAAGCATCACTCTTGCGGCGAAGCAAGTAACCCCAAG